CGTAATGTCAGCAAAAATTGGCGTAATGTCAGCAAAAAATGGCGTAATGTCAGCAAAAATGGCGTAATGTCAGCTCAACTATAGCCTCTGAGTCTTTGAGGCATTCTCAATGCTACCCATTTGAACCATGTTTCCCTCATCGTTATGTGCACCTTTACAATTTATGATTACTTTATGCTGATCATCATAGGCACAGAATCTTTGTCAGAAGTGTGGACAGTCCTGGAGGGCTGCAACATTGAATGGCTGGAAACTTTGGGATGACCCAAACATGGATGGAGGTGATTCAATAGTCAATGATACTAAAGAGCACAATAATAACTACTGCACGTGATCATAAGTTAAATGAACCTACGTGAACCCTTTTAAAACTCGTAAACACACTGTATTAGTCTGGTTAACAAAGGTTGGAATTTYCCATTTCTCGTAGTTTATACTATGTTAGTAATTTCTTAGTCTTCTTCACAGGCATCTCTTCCTTTACGCTCTTATTTCTTCTCTTGGGCTTCCTGTCTTCCTCAATATGACCGAGGAAGACTTACGAGAGAGATCCCAAAAGGACAACGATTKTTATTCTTATACCTTCTTATATCTTCATCCAGACCCGAAATTCAAAGGCTCTGGGACACCCTGTAATTTCAAGCCACATATTGGCTAATTCAAATAACAAACGGACAAGATTGTAATCGGGATAAAAATTCAAATATTTGTAATTTTTAATATATCGGTACGTTTTTTTCGTACATATTCTTGCCTATTCTGTCTTCTTAAACGAGTGAAATAAAAACCTGTGTCATCATTCTTTGCGACATCGAACTTTGGTACGAAAAATGACTTGAATCAAGTAAAAATAGGTCTCAAGGAAATGATATTTCTCGTTAAGGCACCGATCAGCRGGGATTAACGACAGCCGTCAACTCACTTGACCCCACGGACTTKTTTCACCTGTTTTTAAGCAAGATCAAAGCWCAAAAATTGCCATATTACCAATGATTTTATGAAGACAGGAGTTCACCAAGAAAGGATATTTGTAGTAGAAGAAAATTCAAAATTTCCAGAACGCTAGAGTTAACGGTTATTTTAGCAGCACAGGAAACCTAGATTGTTTATAATCCTGTCTTTACCAGCGATTACCCTGAAAAACCATTCTGATAGAGTCTGGAGAGAGAGCTTAGATAAACCGAAATTTTATAGGGTGTCCCAYAGCCTACGACAGGCCGCAAGAGTAGGGTCTGGGTACGAGAATGAAGGACAAAATAAAGTGTTGTCTGTGGAGGAGGTTAGTAAATTCTAACCTAACTGATTCTAGTACCCATTATGTTATCCAACTGGAGGCCACAATAAAAGAAAAATCAAAACAAAACTAACAGTGGTTAAGAATACAGTGGGTTCTTCTGTGCCTGAAAGCCACAACTGACTTTTTCCGTCATCTTCTCAACTACACTGTAATTCGAATGTTAGCAGGGTGAGGCCCCTTGAAAGCTAAAAGTAAGACATGCTGTCAATATTATTGAAGTACTTGATCTAATTTCTAATCTGTGTTTTTTAGTCCCCATTGACGGTACATTATCGGAAATAGAAGGGAACCCATTTCGTGATGTGTGGAAGAAATGTGCCTGGGACATGTCCAATGAGGTACACGTTTACCCGTATGGTGCATATATTTCAACAGTCATTTTACCAGTATTGTCGGCAGTGGAATTCAATGCTTGCTGTTATAGTTGTTGTTGCTCTTGTCATTGTTGCTCTTATTGTTGTTGCAATTGTTGCTGTTGCTCTTGTTGTAGCTCTTGTTTCTTGTTGCTGTTGTTGATCTCGTTGTTGGTGTTCTTATTGTTGTTGTTGTTGATCTCGTTGGTGTTGTTGTTGTTGTTGATCTTGTTGTTGCACTTGTTTTCGTTGATGATTTTGTTGTTATGGTATGCCCAGGAGGCATTTAATAAAGGGTTACTGGGCGCACAGCTTTAAGAATGCTATATCGTTTAGCTTTGGCAGCCATCATTGTGACCTGTCATCAAAATGGCGACTTGCATTGAATGATAGATTTTGTGCCTTTTTCAGACCAAGTTCAGTATTTATGAAAGAGCTATGTATGCTGCTTACTGTGGTAACTTAAAGCAGGTACTGAATGTCATCTTTATTCACGACTTTCAAAAATGGCGCGGTGTGTCGTGGTCTTCGACCAGGAGGGCACTTGGGACGAAGCACTAAAACGAGGTCTCAAAGGCCAGCCTCCGTATAGTGAGCTTCCATGGTGTCTTGCAAGAGTGTTTTGTTATAAAAAACATACCAACACATCTTTCAAATTTTTGGTCACTGCCTACATACGATCTTAGTAGTGATTTCTTGATGGAAGGCCTTTGAGGTCTCGTTTCCATGATTCGTCACTAGTCCCCAATATAGGCGGWCGTGAACTGGCGCCATTTTTGAAAGTCGTGTATAAAAGATTTTATACGCTAAAACTTTTAATGCAATAATTGCCCTATTGCATTATGACGTCGCAGTATGTTTACATCGGAAAACGATGCTCAAAAACAGTGGAAATTTGGACCCATTTATATTGTCTACTAAAGTAGAACTTCAATGAATCGTGTTTTGATATATATCATGCATAAATGATTCCTAATGAACATTTTATTTGATATGCAGTCACTCTGATCCCMTCTGGCGACCATAATCCTTAACGTTAAAACAATTAAATGTTTTGATGTGACGTCATAATGAACTAGGGCAATTGCAACTAGCAAGTTAATACGCCAATGTTTGGCCAGCAGAAAACTGAAAACTAGTAACTCTCCGTTACTGACCTAACTAATTCTCCTAACTGAACACCTTTTTCGGTCTCCAAGAGCAAGGAAAATCCGAGACGTTTAACGTTATTGCCGGAGGGTTGGGCCCGTGGTTTAGTTCAACTTAAGATCTTGTTGTAGAATAGAGTCAGAGCTCATCTATCAACAAAGTACAAAGTACTAATATCTGTYCAATTTATAGCTTGTTCCTGCCTGTGAGTCTTGGGAGGATTATCTATGGGCATACTACAAGGTTATGGTAGACATTCGTGTGGAGCAGGTAACCGCATTGCCACCATGTTATAGATGGTTCATTGTCCTTGAACAAACTAGTAGAGACAGTTGTGTAAAAATATAAGTAGAGACAGTAATATAAGTAGAGACACGGTTGTGTAAAAATTTTTAATTAAGTAGGTGAAACAACTTACTGACGTTTCGGACGATAATCCTTCGTCTTTTTTTCCGACAAAGGATTGACGTCCCAAACGTCAGTAAAGTTAAATTAATCTTTTTAATTTTACACAACTGTTTCTTTAGAAACATCACGCTAGTTTCCCTCCATTTCAACTAGTAGAGACCCAGACTCGTACCCAGTTGCTTCCGTCGCTTTTTTCGCTGCGCGCAATGCATCAAGGGAAGGAAGAAAGTTTCTCTCTCCTTCCCATCGACCCCTTTGAGCCTAACGGTTAAAAGAGTAACGTGTCTGGGCAATATAAATCCATGTCCAGCAGATGCATGGGAAATCCATAGAGTGGATAACTTTACAGGGTYGATGTATAACAAAATTACCTTAGACTTTTATTATCTTCGATTGTGTTTATAACAAATAAAGCCCATTTAGCCCCTCCTTAAAACCATTTAGCCACCCCTTAAAATTTCAGCTGGATCCGCCCTCGAAATTACTATGTTAAATATTATTGCTTCAATACAAGGTGATCATTTATTTAACGTTATAGGAATTYCGTCTAAATGCAAGAGTAGATAGAGATCTCGAAAACATGCCACCAAGTTATTGGGACCAGGCGTAAGTTGCTTTAATTTAATTTTTAACTTTTTTTATTTAATTTATTAGCTTTACCCCTAGTTGGGCAGGGACACCGCAACAGCGTGACCCTGTACTCTCACACTCACTACCTCTACATTAAGTATTTTTCGTTGCAATGGAGAGAACAACACAACAAATAAACCCAAACTCACATATGGTCCGTGTCCGGGAATCGAACCCGGACCACAGCGGTGAGAGGACAGTAGCTTAACCACTAGACCACCCGTGCCACCCGTGCTTTGTGTTTATCGTTATTACAAAGAAGTTAACATATAATAAGATAGGGAAATCTTTGTAGTTCTTCTGTATTATACAATTACTATAGCTACCTTATCTCTTCAATAATCTGTGTCTGAGGCAATTTGGTTGTGTATTTCCTTTYCAGTCTCACCCCTGAACAAATATTTGATGAATTAAAGGCTTGTCCTAGAGAAGTGAGTATCTTTAAATTCATTCATAGATTTAAGATRGTGAAAACCCGTACCGCGCTCCAGGTATCTAGAGTACCATTATTTTTCTAGGAAACCTTGGCGTAAAGAAGAATTCTGATTGCTGTTCTGTTTATTGTTGTTGACAATTGCTCCACACAGTGCTGTGACGTTAAATTACTCGCCCTGTTACGTCATATAGACCTCTGAAGCTTTTACGTCATGTACCGTATACGCAATGCATTGTAGGATATGTTTGGTACAAAACATGGCGGAATTCTTTTGTTTTCACTAGAAACTGATCCCACAATGCATCGAAAATCAAGTAGTGATGTAAAAAGTTCAGAAGTCTATTGCTACTTGAGCTTTCCTGTGCGACTTGATTAATAATTGATCATTTCCATCAAGTAAAGATGGCATTATGATGTTGGTATAAGTGATTGTTGACTTGCAGGGTGTAAAAAGAAGTGTCAGCGAGGCTCACCATGTTATTCAAAGACATGTTATACTCAATGATATCCACGGTAAAACAAAGCATTATAGTACACCGAATAGGCCTTTTGCATGGTCACATGGTACAAAATCCGCCATACTGCATGGATGGTAAAATACCCATTGGGATGCTCAAAAAAAAGAAAAGTCAAGCTTGATGGGCTGCATTCCTTTTGTTTTTGAGGTTGTTTACATTCTTTTGCCATCCAGAAAGGCGGATTTAGTGCCATGTGACCGTTTCATGCAAAAGTTACAATGTTCAATGCACTGCAGCACAAATGCACTGAAATCCAATGCAATACATGTTTATTAGTCACGAGTAATTAAGAAAGCAACTATTGTACAACACGCGTCGAAAAAGATTTGTTTTTTTTTTACGAGCAGACATGTTGCTTATATCAAAAATACGCAATCAACGACTGCGTTCAACTCAGGCCGAAGAGAGAGTTAGTCGTAACACACAGACAGTAGAATTTGCGTATCGTACAGAGTACTAGCAGCAGTGCTTCATCGGGTATAAAATACGAGCCGAAAGTGAGCTCTTGATAGATTATAAAACAGTGATGAGAGCGTTTCGTACGACATGATTAACACTCCATGAGCACTAAATTGAAGTTCTGGTAAAATGATACAGATACCTTGTTTTTTTTACTTTGTTTTGAATCCAATCTCTCTTCTACGATGTCCAAGAAATCGCGAGAAGAAAGTGTTAGGTATAAAATCTTTCTTCTTCGGTAAAAAAAGAACCAAAAACTAAGATTAATACCTGCTGAAAGAGAAAACTCGTTAGAACTTAGGATTCTGTAGGGGTGCCTGCTATACAGTTTGAGTGGTAACGTCTTCACTTGTACATTTTCACAAAGTGACGAAAGGCCTCGCAAAATGTTTTATATTATTCTTAATTGCTCTGTTTTGTTTAAGGTTTATTAAAAGTGATGAATGAATGGCTGCAAGAAGAACCTACACCTACAAGTCACATGCTGAGATTTATGGCTCATTTTGCGCTGTTTTTAAGAGCATCTGGACTTGAAACTCATGTGAGTGAAAACCATCTAGTTGAATGGATACGTAAGGTGCAGCAATATACTTTTGTTCAAAATAGATATCCATTTAGTCCAAAATAGTCCTTAAGCCGACATGGGTTATTCTATTTTCGTAAAGAAAAAGCAAAACTCTGCCCCTCGTCTTCATGAGCGCGCCTGCGATATTTTTGAAAGCGCCTGCGTTTTCCGGAAGTTGTATATTTCATGCGCGAGTGCATTCGAATGAAACAATGAAGTCGACATCAATTTTTCACGCATAATTATATAACAATACACATCAATTGAGTAAATTCCCAAAATTGAAATAAAAGTTATGTTTTATTTGAAATTTAAGCTTAATCGTGCGACTTTTCTATGCTGGTTAGGCTTTTGTTCGTAAAGTGTCATTTCTTTTCCAGCCATTTTTTTTCCATCTAGGGAAAGTCTAGAGCCGACGTTGACTTTTGTGAATTCTCGTGCGCTAATTGGCTGACAATAATAGTAGCGTGTCAGTGAAAGGGTATTCTAATTTTCCTTTTACCATCACTCGTGTCTCAAATTTTGCAACTTATGGCGAATTCCACCTCTTTTTCGTTGTTGATTTATGTCAGCGTTGTGTCAACAAGAGAACAAATAACTAAGTTGTACGATTTTTTAATTACATTTAATATTTTGATCAACACAGCAACTTTGCAAAAAAGGGGATTCCACGATAAGACTTATATATTAATCATTGTACCTTAGTAATATATACTTTAAAATAACTCTGGCATCTTTTAATGAAGAGTTTTCATTGGTCAAAGCATCACGTGGTGGATATAGTAAATTGTTCCGAGAATCCAATCTGATTGTGAACAGCTTAGGCCATATTAGGTCACCGTTCATGGCTAGACGTAAGATATATTTGGCATACAAATCAAATTACAGTTTGTACACCACAGTTTCGTAAGACAAAGCTCGACCTTTGTTATCCTTGGAACCGCCGACTAATAAAATCGAAATGACAGTTGTGTCACCGGGCATGTTGATTGTTCGGATATACCTATGGTATTCAAATCAACCGCGAAACCGTTTTGAAATAATTAAATAAATTACTGATATTCATTAGGATTTTTTGTATGTATCTGAGCTGACAGCATGCCTTTAGATAGAAGGTACATTACCGCTGGCCGAGGTGATTGTCTATGCATAGATGATTTTTTTCAACGAATTTTATTGAAAAGTGCATCCTAGACACCCACAGAATCTGAAACACAAATCTTGATTATAATAGTCATGCTGTAAAAATTCAAACTTAGCTCGTTAAAAGAATAAAAAAATTGACCCAAAACCTTACAGCAAGTTTTCATCCTCACTTTTTAAGCTTTTCCAGATGTCTATAAGTTTGTTTACTCGCTCTAGAGAAAGCCATCCTTTTAAGATTCCATCTTCTTCCAAAGCTGAAGCATATTTATGAAGCAACGTCTCATCTATGGGAGGATGAGCCTCGAGATTTCTCGAATCTTGGAGAGATTTTATTGCCTCTTCTACTTCCTCACACCAGTTCAATTTAGATTTTAAGATTTCCCATCTCTTTTTCGCTGCGTTTCTTTCTTCATCTGTTTGAACAAGTTTCTTTACATCTCTCTCGATATTTTTCACTTTATAACTACGAACTGGAGTGTAATATTCCGGTAAAACCTTTTGGTACAGTTTACCTTGAATTTGCCAACACAATTCACCTAAGTGCAACAACGCAGCACTTTGTAATTTTGGCTGAATAGGAACACGCGGCTGTTCAAGCATTGGCAGTGTGCGGGTTTCTCTCATCTGCTTGACTTCTCTCTTGAGCTTTTCATTCTCCGAGGTCAATTTCTCTTCTGTGGTCCTCAGGCTGTATTCTACTTTCTGTAAATTCTCTTTAAGCTTTTGGTTCTCTTTCTCGTGAGACTTAGACGACTTGGTAAGTGTTTTCACGTCGTTTTCCAAKCGCTTTAGCTTACTTTCAACGTGCGATAACTCGTCTTGTAGCTTCGCTTTCTCTTCTTCCAGTATTTCGATCTTTTCCTTTAGTTCTTCGACCTCTTTGTCTTTTGTGTTCAGTTTAATCTGAAGATCATTATTTTTTTCTTGAATTTTTGTCAACTTCTGTTGAAGGTCAGCTATTTCCACGTCCTTTTCTTCTAGTTGTTTCTTTAAGGATTCGATCTCGATGGAGTGTTGCGCTTCTTTATCAGACATTAGTATTTGACGCAGTGTTATACTCATAGAACTTTCTTGATCAGTTGTTTGAAACTGATGCCCTCCAAGTGCAAGTCGATCTTGAAGACTCATTTTTCTTTAAAAGTATTCTTCAGAAGACCAGATTTCTCTCGATGAAACGATGTTGATTTGATGTTCTTACCCCTCGTGACGCGAAGCGATTTCTTAATGATGGGTTTTCATTGGCCACAGGGTTGATATTAATAATATTTATTCCGAGAATCCAATCAGATTGTGAATACCTTGGTCACCGTTCAAGGCGGGCTAGACTTCGGATGAAGCGTTTTACATTTGCTGTTATTACTCACGCGAGGGGCTTTCTTAATGATGAGTTTTATTGGCCAAGCTTTATTTTTCTTTAAAAGCATCCTTCAGGAGACTAGATCCCGTYTTGAAACGTTTTACATATTGTTATTACTCACGCGAAGGGCTTTCTTAATGTCAAGCTTTCATTGGCGGGAGAAAGCATCACGTGATCAATGTAGTACTATTAATAGCACGCTGTTCCCGGAATTCGACTTTGCTGAAACGTGTCACACTTTGGTCAACCTATGACGTACGTGGCTTTACCTAATATATATATTTGACAAACAAACCAAATTGCACACCAGAATTTTGTAATACAAACCTCGAACTTTATCCTTGAAACTGCCCACTAATCAAAAATGGAATGACGCGCATGTCATCGTGTTGATTGTGTGGCTATACCTATTATTTTTTCAAAAGGAAAAGCTGATGTATTCAAATAATCCATGAACCTATTTTGAAATATTTAGTTAAATGAATAACAGATCTTCGTTTGATTTTTTGTGTGTATCTAAACAAGGAACACTACTGGTTGTCAAGGTGATCGTATTTCATAAAAAAAGCAATGCTCATTGTTTCTTTGTTCTTAAACCCTTTGTTTTTTTGTTTTGTTTTGTTTTTGTTTTTTTTTGTTTTTTTTTTTTCGTTTTTTTTTTACAAATAGCTAGTATAAACCAATTGGATGAGATCTTGCAAAACRGTGAAGGACTGCACGTGTTTCCGTATCAAGCAAATGATTCGAAAGTGATTGCAAGAACGAAAGTTCGTCGTTTATTATTACTGCTCAAAAAACTAATATTATAATTGCACGTAACAGAAACATTTTCAATCAACAGTGGCTGTTTATTTGAACAATTCTACTTTTCTTTTATTGTCACTTTTCTGGTACCTGTGAGTCATCTCGTAGAAATGTTTGATTTACAATTGGGTCATATTCAGCAAATACCACAATGCTAGTCGAAAATAGACCCCGAGTWGCGTAGCCAATCAGAATGTAGGATGTGCAATAGTCCACTAGTATGGTYATACTAATAGTCGCTATCGCTGAACCAGAACAGTTTTACTAGTTTTCATGACACTCGAATAGCGTGGTTTTCCGTCAACCATTAAAGCACAATAAGTCCAATAGTTAGTAGTAGTTTGTCATAGACCAATACTAATAATCTAGTCTAGAGTAGACCTGTATTCGATTGATAGGTATCAACATATTCATCACAAAAACAAGTTTTTTGAGTCAATTTTAGTGGTTAGCCAGAGTGCAAACACTAAAACTGTGCAACATAAATACCACTAAATACTGCTAAATTATGCTAATTCTATTAATTATATTATGTGATAGGGCAATTAAACCAACAGCTCTCTCAGACATAGACGGACAAAAAGGAGTTCAAAAACGCTTTATTGAGACAGAAAGAAAAATTTAGTTGGCAGGATGAGCTGATTAATAATGGTTCCTACATAGTTTATAATATGTTATTAATTACTGCGATACGYTGGAATTCTAGTTTTGACGAATACGGAGAACTACGGAAAACTTTCTACAAAAGCTAGYAAAAGTTGCAATGTAAAGTTTATGAACGAAATAGATGCATCTGTTTTAGATTTTTTCCCTAATGTCTGAACAAAGTTTGCGTTTGGTCTCCTTTGCATTTCTTTTTGTGTTATATCTTTTCTTGTTCACTAGCAATAAATTGAATAAAGACTATTTGTTTTGAGTGGTTTTCATTAACCCGTGAAACACACTTTAGTGTATTTATCGCTATTACACTTTGGCTCTTTTGTTTTTTTTTTATTGTCTCTACGCGACTATTACGATCTATTACACTCTAATTATTACACTTTGTTTAACGGGTTTATGAAAACCACTCTAGAGTGAACGCACTAAATCCGTGAAACAAATACTACTAATTACTACTAAATAGTGTTGATTAACAATAGAAAACAAAGGAATTAGCATAATTTGATATTTTGTACTATTTAAGCTTCATGGATTAAGTGTGTTTACTCTAGTAGCTATTTTCATGTTATATCATGGTTAAAGTTCGTTTGCTCTATAGTAATAATCTAATTATTGATCTTTTTGTTGCAGGATGAGCTGACTGGTCCGATTTTGAAGGCATATGTCCAGGTAAAGTGAAAGAAATGTTTATTGTCAATYTWTGACGCACAAGGTAGTTTTCTCATAGTTCTTGTTCACACTTGTTTGACACAAAATCGGATTTGATAGTTTGCGGATTGATAGTTTTCAACCGTTCCCATGAGATTCAAATGAGATAAAAGACCGGCGGCCATGTTGGAGGAATGATCAATGGATACTAATAATAAATCCTTTGTTAAAGTATAGTGAAAACGAAGAATACAATGTTTTCCATCAATACGTTCGATTTCGGAGCGTTTAATTCCGCTTCAAAATATTATGTTTTTTTTTTTAATTCCAGGATTGTGGACGCAACCTTTATAATCTTGATATATAGCATATTTAAAAAATCGATTATGACTCAGTTATAAGAGGAAAATAAGATAATGATAATAATAATAATAATAATATCGATATAGTTCAAAAAGAACGTAATAGGAAGAAAGCGTTGACTACAATCGTTGACAAAATACCTTGGACCGTAGCMTTCTTTTTGCACAATATCTATAATTATCTTCGTGTCTCTCAGTACTTATCCCCCCATACCCCCCTGGAGCAATGTTGCTAGTGACCTTGGATGCTTGTGTCGTTTGGACAGTCGCAAAACGATCGCATTGCAACCATTTCCACACAACATTGCCTTTAGGAGGTCAAGGGGCATGCATTTCTTATATGTTAATGCTAAAAATAGCTAAGTTTAAAATTATGGTCCAAGGTTTTTGGCAACGATTGTAYATAAGAAGGAGACTAGTCTCCCTCTACAAACTATGGATAATGTGTTCATCCACGAATGAAACAGAAACGTTTTTTTACCCCGCGTATCGCCAACGTACTGCTATTTTCTTTCAGGAAATGTTAAGCTCAGATCACAAAAAATGAAATCCTTTGTTGTGTGTTTTGTTTTAGAATCTGATCGATGGTCATCAAGTCCCTCTCGTTGCAACATACACAGCTACATTATCACCTGAACTACAAGTCGAAACCTATGCTTATTTCTTAGAAGGTAAGACTGAAATGATCTGAACCGCTGATCGAGGACCTTAATTAGTAGAGTGCAAGCACTAAACGCGTTTGCAACACTTTGCATTACTTATTTCTAAATAGTTATTGCTAAAATAGTGCTAACTTAACGTAAAACAGTTGAATTTAGCAGTATTTAGTGATTGTATTATAGAGTGGTTTTCATAAACCCGTGAAACAAAGAGTAATAATTAGAGTGTAATAGATCTTAATAATCGCGTAGAGACAATAAAAAACAAAAGAGCCAAAGTGTYATTATAGCGATAAATACGCTAAAGTGTGTTTCACGGGTTAATGAAAACCACTCTAATCTTCTTCAGTTTCCATGAACACCATTACCATA